AAACTGATATCTTATTCCGTCTTCAAGGAGGGAAGGAAAAGCATGTTTTTCTTAACCTGCTCTAACAATCTTAGGCATCTGTCGCCACTCCCTATTCTCCTCAATACAGATCATCCTTATCACATACAATGCTTTTCAGCTTCCTGAATATTTTTGGTTTAGATACGAACCTCAAATTAGATGGATCAGGGTAAAAATGCCTGAGGATGAATTCTTTATCATTCTACTGTTTATGCGGACAGCTCTACTCCATGGAAATGCACTGCTGGCTGATAACCCAACTGTTTGGCTGCGGATTGTGGTTTTACTGTGAGTAGGAAGGGGAAGAGAGCAGGGTGAGGCAGCTGCCACAAGAGAGGAGCAGAGTGAGTACACAGAGCCCCAGCCCGCCTGGTTCCCAGCTCATCTGCAGCCTGATCTCAAACGCTTCCAACCCGCCACAGCTCAGAAGGGGAACACTTTTCCATACGAAGCCATGCCTTTCAGTTTGGATGTTTCTACTAAAACACACACTCTCTCTAAAGGGCTTGGTTTTCTCTGCTCACCCACTTTGATTCACCTTACACAGTTCTGTGCATGACTACATTTTACTAAAGCTTAAGTGAATTTGAGAGTTTCTTATCCAAGGTCGTTGGGTGTTGGGGCTGGTGGAACATAAAAGAACCTTTTCTGAAGAGGAGGGCTGAGGTGAAACCAGTGATGCACATCCCAAACAGGTACAAAATGCCACGAAGTCTTTAGAGAACTGAGAAAAAAACAAAACCAAACAGGGCTTAGAAAACCTGGAGAGGGCTGGGCGCGGTGGCTCATGCTTGCAATTCCGGGACTTTGGGAAACTAAGGTGGGTGGATGGCTTGAGCCCAGGAGTTCAAGACCAGCCTGGGCAACATGGTGAAACATTGTCTCTACTAAAAATACAAAAATGTAGCTGGCTGTGGTGGTGTGTGCCTGTGGCCCCAGCTCGGGAGGTTGAGGTGGGAGCATCACCTGAACCCCAGAGGCTGAGGCTGCAGTGAACCACGATGGCCGTGACAGAGTGTTCCTCTGCACTCCAGCTTGAGTGACAGAGTGAGAACTCATCTCTAAAAACAATTTAAAGGAAAGAAAAGAAAACCTGGACAGAATGATGGGAAGCAGCAGTTGGGAGCAGAGAAGAGAAAGTGGTGAGGAGAGAAATGCAGAAGAGATAGAGGCCATCATTATGAGGGTCTCCTGCATTTTTACGGCCATCCCAGGTTCATTTTGGGGCAAGAATGGATGGACTTCAGTTGAATTGTCCATAGCCATGGAAATGATTTTGGATTTTATTTTAGGATTCACTGAATTGGATATTGGGAGTCAAGGAGAAGGAGGGGTCAAGGACATCAAGTTGAGCTGCTGATGGTGCCATTTACCAAGAGGAAGGCCAGGGTCAAGAGAATCTAAATAATTTCATTTTGCCATTGTTAAATTTGAGTCGTGTTTCGATGCAGGGGCCTGAAACTCAGAGGAGAGATTTGAATTGGAGAAACGAATTTGGGAGTTGCCAACACATAGATTCTTAACACCATGGGAATGGAGGTAATCATCCAGGAAGACAGTCCTTCTCATGACCTGTGTTTTAAAAGGGGAGAAAACTGAAGCTGGGGGAGGTCAAAGAACTTGCTAAATAGGCCCATTTTGCCACCAGTGAATGATTGAACCAAGATTTAAACCAAGGGCTGCAGTGAGTATAGAGCAGTTACTATTATTGCCGTTGTTCTTCTTGTCATGGCTATTATTTCTTGCTGAGGTTAAGGGATTGGCTCCATTGCATTTATATAAAACCAGCTTAGCTCCCTAAACAGCTCCATAAAATTCCTCTGTGATGATACTCCAATGCCCTGGGAAACCCTGAGGCTCTGCCTCCCACCTGTCATCTAAATTGCTTGTCCTGTCCTGGGAGCTCCAGTTCCTGCTCCACTGCCCAGCACCTGGTTATTTCTGCTGCTTTTCCTAGATCCTTTGGCCTGACACTTCAGTGGGACTCGTGTGTCATGCGCCTAGCTTTGCCTGTGGGTGCTATCTTTCCCTTGGCTCCATCAATTACAGCCCATGAGCCAGTTGTGCCTCATCTCTGAGACTACTCCTGGCTCTCAGATCCCTAAAGCAAGTATGGTTCCCTGTGTACTTGTCTGTCCAGGAAAGTTCAGGCAGTTATCTTGGCTCTGTCCTTCAATATGTTCTTTCCATTAAAGGCATCTTGGATATTCTTATGCCTACCTTATTTTTCCAGACTTGAGTTAATCTAATATGATTTTCATTCCATTGTCTTGTCTCTTCTGAGCTTTTTCTTGCTTTTCTCTTCCATTCTTCCCCTATAGTCTTTAATGCTTTTTCAAAAAACCTACTTTACCTCCTTCTTGTATTCAGGGTTTTTTCTTTTCTTTCCTTTTTTTTTTTT